ATATATATATATATATATGGGGATTATCTTTACCCTTATAAACCTGCTCTCTTGTATCTCAATATTTGTGGAACATAATTTGAAAATGTTGAGACAAAGGTGTATAATATATCCAACTTTCATTTAAAGCACTTCTTTTAAAAAATGTTTTAATGTTAAGTTATGTAAAGAAATGGAACGGAGTTTCTGAGATCAGAGTAATGTTTGAGAAATGCTCATATTTAAGACCTTAAAAATTTATGTTTTCATAAATAGAAGGTTTAATAGACTATTATTGTTTCCATTACAATTAATGTTTTTTCTTTAATTGTTGATGCCGAGTCTTGACTAACAAGCTGTAATTACTTATGAGAATAAAAAGTTGTTATTGTTCTTTAAGTTTTTAATTGTACATTTTAAGAATTCGTTTCTAATGAGGAACAATCTTCTCCACACAGTTTTCCTCAGATATTATACAGTAACAGAAGTTTATCAACTTGAATAAAGATAAAAACTTTTCTATAGGTAGAGGAAATAACAAAATTAGTGTGGAGTTCAGGATTGAACATCTATAATCTGTATGAAGACTGTATTTCCAGTAGCGATGTGAAGTATTCTCGATCGTCTGTTGATCAAAATACAATTTTGAAGCTTCTGAGAAGAAAGGTATATCAAACTTTGTTTTAATTTAAATTCAGATAAATATTTGTTTCTGTTTTCCCTTAAATAACCCCTTGAAAGAGCTATAATGGTAATAATGGGGATTCGTGAAATTGTTTAATGCGATAGCTCGGTTTATGACCATTTTAAATATTACACTTCTGTGTCTGTTTACTTCCAACCAAGTTTCCTTATGTAGAATGTCATCATACTGTTAGGTAGAATTCCACTTTAACTTTGCATTGATAAGTTTCATAGACATGTTTAAAAATTGTCATTTACTTTTTGCAAAGGATGAAACAGCACAATTTTTTTGTAGAACAACAGTTCCCCTTTATACAAAATAAGGTTTATTTATTTTGAAATAGATGGTATTTTGAAGAATGTTAAACCTTGTTATACTTGTAGTAAAGTATTAAACCAAATTTAATTGAGTGCCAAGAAATTAAAAAAAATCTAGTTATGATTTTATAGAAATCATTCATTAAAGATAAGTATATTTTTGTTTCAGCCAAGCTATTCAACTAAAAGCCCGCCCTGTGTAGATTCGACAAATATAGAAAAATGGTTGAACCAGCCAGAAGTCCGAAGTGCCTTGCACATCCCAAGTTTTGTACAGAAATGGACAATTTGTAGGTTAGTAGTAAGTCATGTTTAGTTATACATCTAGCCGAGTCATACTGCAAATTACTTTACTGTGTAATGTCACATCATGCATAAAATATGCTAAAATTACCACTTTATGTAACACATTACGATATGGAAGTTAGGCAGATAGGCCTACATGAAACTGGAGGGAAAATACAATTTTTTTGGAGAGGAGAAAGTTTAAATCATATGAAGAATTACAGACATGGACAGATGCATTTTTAGAAATGTTGGTGTAATGAGCAATAAATTACTGTAGAAATTTAAGCTTAACCTCCTGCAGTATGAAATTAAGTTTGCCTCTTCTCACATAACACAGAAGTTCAGATAAAAATCAATAGCAAACAGTTAACAAGAAATCATTACACATATATGACACACTTTTCAACCAATCACAGTGTACTTCCTTGTGGCATTCCTTGCACCTAGACACAGTTTTAAAAGATTACTCATAATATAGTACACATCTATATATGTTTGAATGTATATAATTGCATTCTTTGAGATAAAACATCTTATAAATCTTTAGTTTTATTTTCTTAGCAATTTTTGAGCAAGCCAGAAATGTTTGTTGGTTAATGATAAATTACTGCAAGATGTCCTGGAACTTGCTCTGTGACAACACACACAAAAATAGGCTTATATCAAATATAAAAGGCATAATTTTTCTGCTTTTATATATCTGCCTGATGGTACCCATACAGCATTGTGAATATCTTATCTCCTTTTTAGTCGTCCATTTTGAAAAACAACTGCAGAAAGATGATGCAGTGAGCAATAAATTGAGATATAAAGCATACATTTTACTGCGAGTGTGTAGATGGATTCAAGGCATTGTGAGTTGAAGCACCTGAAGAGACAGGATATCCCAAATGCTATCTGGGTACTATCATGCAGTTATTCACAAAGAAAAATTGCAGGATTGAAAATACAAAAAGTAATATAGATTTTACACTGTTGTAAAATTCTTTCATTCTATAGAGAAAATATCAATGTTACAGTAATTTGAAGTTTACTTTTTAAGTTCGCAGACTGCAGAACCATATATATTTAATTTTTTTTGTAGCTATGTTGCAATTGACATTGCCTTCTTACAACTTTGTAATAGTGATGAGAACTTTATTTTCTTCATATTGAATTATTTTTGTCCATGGTAATTCCTATGGTAAACTTGTGTTTTACTTTGGCATGAATTTAAGACCACTGATAATTCTATGATACATAAAATTCTGAA